ATAATGGGACTCCTATTGCGTGTCTTTTCAATCGGGGAGTTTCACTGATCCTATCGGAGAGAGAGAGAGAGAGAGAGAGAGAGAGAGAGAGAGAGAGAGAGAGAGGAGGGGGAGGAAGGGAGAAAGAAAGAGACTCTGCACGACGCAAATTGTACAGTACAAAATTACATGCTCGTGGTCAACACGTACCGACGTGTATTCTCTCCACGAGTCAACGCATCTCTCCGGGCAACGGGAAGATCTCGACAGCTCACGACAGCGGCGGCGCGCGATCAAGTGGATGGCACGTAGAAAAACGCGAGCAGTAAGGAAATCGAGCAATCATAGGCGAAATGTAAATATAAGCGCGCTTACGTTCTCTCAGCTATTAGCGTACTCGAGCGGCATGGGTTTTAATCCATCCGGGGTGGATTAACCTTGCTGCTCTACTCGAGTCTATTTGACCCGAAATCGTTTTTATTTCCTTTTTATATTTTTATGTGATGAGTGAGCGCTCTGATATTTTATAGCCAACGTAACTCAAGAGCATGAAATTTTAACTAAAACAATTTTTACTATTTTTCCGTCCTTTTGTTTTTTTATTTCTATTATTACATGAAGTTTTCGGGTCAGAATGATCCGATGGAAAAAATTAGTACTTTAGTAATATCAATTTGAACTTAATAATGTTTTATTATAAAACAGAACATTATCAGCTTGAGTACCAATTATTGTGTTATAGATCAATATTTTTAATAAAAATTCAGTTATTGTTTTCAGGAATATTGTCGAACATTGTAAGAAAAGAACAATTTTCAGTATTTTCAATGAATTTCAATAAACCCTAGTCGGAATGGAAACAAATTTACTAAAAGAAGATTATTTTTGGAAGGATTGAGGAAGCGCTCGCGTAATATTTTAATAAAAGTCCAAAAAGCAAATCAAGCCGTTGCTTCGATCTATTGCGTCGATTAATACTAAGCGTGCTTGTTGTAATTTGTCCCATCAATAACAACAAAACAAAATATTTGGTGTAATGATTGTAAATCACACACACGTTACTTTTGCCCAAATTGTATCAAATAATAAAAAAGTATTTCTCTTGGTTTCTTAATGAATTTTTATTTCTATTTTTATTTTTATTTTAAAAATTTTAATAATAATGATTTATGACATTCCGTTTTATTTGTATACAACTCTGCAAATGGATAAAATAATAAAGTCATATTGACTCGAGTAGTACGACCATGTGATAAACAGTCAAACAGAATAGCAGTGTTAAATTAAATTTAACCGAAGAAAAATGTTATGATTCTTGATTAGGTACTAATTATGTACAAAGTAAGATTAAGATTTTATCGTAACGACAAGGACTTGACTGGCTATCGCGTGGACAACTTTTGATATAATTGAATATAATATTCATATATAATGCAGGATATAATAGTGAAGTACAAGTCCACTATTTATATCTGATGATTTTCTGCGAGAAAAATGTTATTTTTCAGATACAAATTTACATGAAAAATGGAGAAGAGATGTGTTTTACTTATGAGTAACTGCTTTTTCTATCTTCGTTAAAATATCGGGCAACCTTATAAATATATTTCTTTTGTTTTCTCCCTTGTTTTATCGTGTGAAATTAAGATATTTATCAGTAAACTTACCGTCAATAAAAGTAAAATTTTCTTGTGCAACAGATATATTAGTGAGATTAAAACGTGTTCTCTAAGGAGAATCTCGAGTTGACAAGCTTCTTGGCTCTGATTCGTCAATTCGCAATTGTCGCACGGTCAAATATAGCTTGGCTTTTGCTTTCTCATCCAGTAACCCAACAGAGAACTTATAGCGTCATTAATCCCCCCTCTCTCCGTAGACTAAAACTCGTGCCACACTCGAGTACGCTATATGACTGCTTGATTTGCTCGTTGCTCACATCTTAGCGCTCACGTTATTCCACGGGCCTGATGCTCTCGCGCGTGCAAAATATAATAACGATCGATCTCTCTCCTCCGGCCGTCCGGCCAGCCAAAGACGACGAGATGACGAGACTTCCAAAGTCGAGTTTAATCACTGACGTTTAATGGCGTCGCGCCATCGGACAGCCTTATTAAATCTCTCCTCTCCTGGCCAATTACTCGCTCGTGCTTTTTTTTTTACCCTGCGGCGTTCCCCGGTGGCGGATGCGAGCGGGGGCGGGCGGGGGTGAACGAACACAGACGGATGGCCCGGCGAATCTGTCGCGAGCCTCGAAATCCCTAATCCGTCCCGGCCCCGAATCCGCCCTGGGATCTTCAACTTTGCGCGACGCGCGATTGGAATCGAACGGCTAATTTTGGAAAGCGATAACCGAGTGAGCCCGGCAGTTGATGGGAGTTACGGGACACACTCGGCCCGTTTAATTTCGAAGGCAATCAGAGAAAGAGGACGGGGTGTGGTGCCTCTATCTAGCCGCCCGTCGATCTATCCCGCGTCCACTCGGGGTCGGCTTCCTCTCCCCCGTCGCCCTTTCTCTCGATCTGTCTCTCTCCCCCCCCCTCTCTCTCTCTCTCTCTCTCTCTCTCTCTCTCGGTGCATGTCACCCTCCGCGTTCGTCTGATCTCTCTATATCAGCTGTATGCCCATCCATCTGGCTTCTTCTCCGTCCTCCTACCCTCTCCCTCCTATCACTCCCCCCGCGGCCTCGTATCCCGGTCAAGCGAGAGACGAATGTAACGGCCGACAGCATGACGTTAATTCGTTTCTACGGCAAGACGTATGATGCCTCCGATAATGGCCTGCTTCGCTATTGCGCCCGCTCATTGGCGGCGTTGCTCTCTGCTGTTGCTGTATCTCTGACCTGAATTGCATGCACCGGACACGAGGGTACCGCTCGCAGTCGCACCGGAATCGATTGGCATTGATACGCTCCGATGATGAGCGACCTACGAGCAATGCGTGAATAGACAAGATGACTCGATGACTCGATGAGCCGCGAGAACGTAACTTTCGAGTCTTGTATCGAGCGAAAACACGCGGATGTGTACACAGCACCGGGGGAGGGGGAGGGGGCGGCGTATACCGCCAGCCAGGCAAATATTAAAATAACATTGAACTCGCGAGCGATTCGCGGACTGTTTCTAAATGTTAGTCGAGAAATATTCGCCGCGTCGTCCGTCGCGCCGGCGGCGACGGCGGTGGCTCGCGGACTCGAATTACATAAATCGAACGTAGGGTGTCGGCGGCGACGGCAGCGGTAGCGGCGGCGGCGGCAGCGGCAGCGGTTGACATTGAGCGGTAATCGAATGTGCGCAAAGCCCGAATAATTATCGCTCGCGTTCCAATAAGTGAGGTCCGATTGCGGCCGTTTAATCACATTTAAATATATGGCGCAATCAGCCGGATTATAACCGCTCGCTGTGTTGCGGCGCTCTTCTCGAATCGTATTGTTATTGAAATTCGTTGCGCGGGTAGTCGGCCGGGGCGGCGGGAGGGCAGGCGCGTACGCTAGATTTTAGCGGGCGATTATACGCGGAGCGCGACTTCACTGGTCGAACAGTCGCCGTCGCTGATTTCCCGTTCGGCCAGCCGTGCGGTTTCTTCGGGGTCGCGATTCGATGTGTCAAGCACGCTCCCTATCTGCGACCCGGATCGCGCTCGCCGGATGCGCTCCAATCGTCCGCGTTGAGTGACATCGGGATATGGGATCGTCCGATAATCGCTCTTTTAATTGTACCGCGCCCCTTTGTCCCCCCCCCCTCTTCCCGCTCTTGCGTACCGATCGATCGTCACTGTCGCGATCCCACGAGGTCGCGCGCGGCGTTGGAGGCTGCGTGCTCGATATGTATTTGCAACTCGACGGCCGTCATCCCGCGCGTATGTGCGCTCGCGGGAAATAAACGATATCGACATTTCGGGGAAACTAGGTCTGACGCTCGGCAAAGTTCCGTGTCACTTTTTGCGCATTTTTTTACGACTGCGCGGCGTCAGAGGGAGAGACAGGTCGGCAAGTATCGAGGAACTTGTTAAACGCGACTGATCTTTCAGTTTTCTTTCTCTCGCCACCTCTCCTCTCTCTCTCTCTCTCTCTCTCTATATATATATATATGAGATATATACATACATGTACATATAATATATATATCTCTCATGCCATATGGTGCATTAATATGACGCGTTTAATAAGTCCCTCGCTGCAGCGTATGCACGGCGCAGTCGGTGGCGGTGCACAGTTTATATGTGACCCGAATTGCACGCACCGGATTCGAGATTGCTGCGATCGGCATTGAGTGCCCCGGAAATTCCTGCTTATTACGCTCGGGACCTAGCGAGGCGTCCATTAATGTTTCGCTTTGCGGATATTAAACGCGATTATTTCATTGTCCAGAGCGCTCGACGCGAGAAGAGAGAGAGGGGGGGAGGGAGGGAGGGAGGAAGAGAGAGAGAGAGAGAAAGAGAGAGAGAGAGAGAGAGAGAGAAAGGAAGAGAGAAATCGGTAAATTCAAGCTGCGGAAAAAAGCTACGACCGAAACGCCCGTACGTCACCGCGTCCGACTCGTCGCTGCTATATGCAGCTCTTCACGCTTTAATCCAAGGATCGACGCTGACGCGCCAACGCCGCCGCTGGCGAGCGCGCGAAATGTCGCGTGGTGAGCCTTGCGCGGGAACGACAACCGATGGATAATTAGCGGATAATAGAGACGCGCCCCCTCTGCTTTTAGTCAGATCGCCAAGTTAAGGCAGATTGCTCAGCCGGCTTACGGCTGATTCGCTAATGATCGATCGGCATTGTTCATCGGGCCGCGCGGTCCAAAGGAGACTTATTACGCTTATTAAGGTCGACTTCCGACCGCTGCGCGGGTACGGAATGACGGGTGGGAAGGGGGAGGGAAGTGGGAAGAAGGGACAGGCCGTCGTCGACTGTCACAAAAGAGCAACGTCGACCGCCGCCGACGGCTAATTAGATGAATAAGGTAATTCCACTTTTCAAGCGATAGAACAAAAACCAACCATGAAGCCGTTCCTTTGCTTTTCTTTTCCAGGTGCGGAGGATGTGTTCAGGTTTACGGGAAACGAGACGCACACAGACTACTTTCGGCTGGTGCTCAGGGACGGGAACTATCTTTTGGTCGGCGGAAGGTAAATAGAGGATTCATTTAGAGCGAGTGCTTTAATTAAAGGGCCGTTTCTTCTATTTCTTCTTATTCTTCTCTCTCTCTCGCCCTTCCCGCTTCTTCCCTTCATCTTCGTCTTCTTTTTCTTCTTCTTCTTCTTCTTCTTCTTCTTCTTCTTCTCCGTGGCGTCTTCTCTCGCTCATTCGTTCCGCTGTTCGCCCGCCAGCTTACCTTTCTCCGCCGGCGTATTATTGCGCCTCTGTCCGCTCGAGCGCGTGAAATCGACGAGGTGATCCCGACGTTGTTCGAGGAAGACCAAGAGAAAGAGTGAAGAGGAAGCAGAAGGAGGGAGGAGATCGAACCGTGTAATCCTTCCTATATATTCCGTGTAAACTCGTTTCACCGTGTAAATTGAAAGTCCGCGAGTATTTTTTTAATCCAGTCCGTTCGACTTCTCCTGTCGACTGTCGAAGTCGATTTGAAATTCAGTCGATGCACTTCGTCGACGAACGGGACGAAAAGTATTTGCCAAATATGATCTCTCTCTCTCTCTCTCTCTCTCTCTCTGCCCCTTCCCTCTTTGCGTCGCTTGCACCCTCCGTCTCTTTTTTCGTTTCTCGAGCGGCAACGCTTTTTCATCTCGATCCTGAAATTATGTATCGAGGATCGTAAAGTGGTAAACTTTGCGGGACGGATCTGCGAACTCCGGCTTCGACGACGTGGAGACGACGTCCGCTCCAATTGCAGGTATTAATTATAGATAAATCACCGCGTACTCGTTCGCGGCGTGTCGCTGAATAATTGCGAATTTCCTATTTAACGATATCGATAATCGTGTCACATACAATCTTCGAGTGCATTATTGATCAGCGCGCGCGCGCTATTCCGGATATTCCGGTACTCGCACTATTTCAAACTCTATTATAATTTTATCGCACGTTATGCGCGTTATGAAGAACGGGATGGGGGGCGGGGGAGGGGGGCGTGAGATCAGCGTACCAAAGTAGAAATATCGAACTCCGGCCTGCCGCGGGATTTCTCGCGCTGAACCATCTTCGGCGACGCCGCGAACGCGCCGAATTAACCCCAATCAAGCCTGCCGTTAAGTCGCATAACGCTCGGCGAACGATAGAACAAGCGACCGCGCGCTCGACACGGCATAATTAAATCGTCGCTGCCCAGCATCAGGCCCGTGATACGACATAATTAATCACGTCAAACGCAACAATAGACGTCACATTATCGCGACCATATTCGATCGATTGCCGATAACCGGACGCGAATTCAGCCCTTAAGTCGTCACGGGCCTCCGCGCGTTGACATTGCGCGAAAAACACACACCTCGCCGAACACGCCGCCATAACGGAACAACGTTGTTCCCCCAGCCCGATTCGCGCGCTGTCACTCTGCGAATCTCGACGGCGGCGGTGAGCGACACGCATGGCGCATCTCAATTACAGTTATCAAGGAGAACGTCTGCGCCGGCGTAGCGGGTGCTCCCGGGGGCGAGCACAATGTCAATTAATTGCAAACGTGGGATCGCGACGCGTAAAGGATATGCGCGTCCGCGCTCGCAAATGCGGCCTTTGGACTCGTCATTAGAGAACGTATTCAGACGACTCGCCCTGTGCGCTTCCTCCCCGCGCGCGATCGATTAGCGCGCTTCTTTTTTTATCTCATCCCTTCGTCCCCCCCTCCCCTCCTCCTCCCTCACCGCCGCCCCCGCGGTTCCCGCCGTCTCTCGCCGCTCCCCTGAGGGTGTACGCATACGCGGATAAATCAATTCCGTGTCTCGTGTATTGTGCCGAACGCGCGTTATTCGCAACGTTGAAATCAGTCGGCAGAAGCGACGATAATTAGGTCGTACGCGGATTAAACGCAATGTACGTGAATGAACTTCGATACATATCCCGGCTCGTTCGTTATTGATCGGATTACACTAATTGCTCAGCCGATTTGCGCGAGCGGCGCCGCCGCCGACGTCGCCGGCGACGATACGCGCGCGCGCTGCACGGGGACGAAAATGTGTGTTTCTTGCTCGTTAATGACGTAGTTACGGCACGATCGCGCGCGTCCCGCGATCTAACTCGCGATTATAACGTAGCCGGTAAACGTGCGCTCGTACGCGCGACGTTACACATACAAATATACACACGCGCGCGCGCGCGCGCGAGCAGATTCTTGCCCTTTAAAGCACTTCTCTACGCGGCGAGCCGCTTAACGAAGAAGAGTTTAATGATCGACTGCCGAAACTTGGGACGAGAACGCCGCTTCCCCTCTCTCTCTCTCTCTCTCTCTCTCTCTCTCTCTCTCGCGCTCTCCCTCTCGCGCTCACTCGCTCGCGCACAGCCGTCGACGTGTACTTTAGGCGCCTAACTTCGCAACTTAGGGGACAAACTTTTATCTTCTCTCTCTTTCTCTTCATCTCTCTCTTTCTCTCCTAACGTGCGCGCCGGAATACTTGCTATGCCGTGTCGAGATCCGCTACGACAATGAAGGAAATATCAATGGTTACGAGTGCTGGGATAAGCGAGTAATGATTAGAGCCATTGTTGGTCCCATGACGATGAGCACGGAGGAATTCAAGCGGTTTGGTCACGAGTGAGAACTGTCACGGCTTGTGTGGTATTTCCCGAGTTACATCCGCGGCTGCGCCATTGTCCCTTGAGTCGGAAACGATAATTAACCTCTTTAATGAAATGAGTAGCCGTCGAGACAGTCGAGTACAGTCAAAGCCCGTTAACTCTTCGGCTAGGATGGACTTTGGCTATACAGTCGGCGACTATTCATTTTTTTGCTATTAATAAAGTGGACTTTATGTAACAGTAAACTTAATTTTTTTTGTTAGTAGTAGTTTTTACGTATATCAGGTGGAAAATTACTTGAAAATATGAAAGCACTGCAATGACAATAGCTTCACCAGTGCTCTCGCGACAGTCGCTCTCGGTCGCAGCTTGGCTCTACGCGGCAAGTACTTTGCTCTGTCGAAAGGACTAAGAAAGACAAGAAGACTAGTTTTTGTGTCATAACTCTACGTCAATTTGTTCGCCGATTACGGATCTTTAAGCCTGATCCACACTAGCGGTTCGCTCATGGTCCGATCGTATTTCTAAAATATTTATACTATCGAGTCACTCATCTGTCCACTCTCGGTTCTCCTAGACGATCAATATACTTTCTACCTCCTTATCGTCAAGTTTATTATAAATTTTTCTCGAAAAATCACGTTGTTTTCCGAAGAAGAGTTAATCATAATTGCTGTGGCACTGGGGACGATGAAGGTAGAGAAAGTGAAAAGTATAAAGCAAAGAGAGACAGATAAAAAAGGATCAAAATGTGAGTTCATCCTAGTTTGATTGATAGAAAAACTGAAGGAGAATATTTAACTTTACATCCCCATTTACTGACAGAATCGACACTGCGAGAACTGACGGTGGATGAAAGCAAAAGCCTGTTCGTACTATCGGTGCGGGTCCGAATAAGTTTCATCACGCTGCGGTAAAATATTCTTCCGAAGGATCGTTGCTGGAGCGAGTTCGGACCAAAACTTGAGCGTTACCACTAGTTTGGATACGTTATAAACAGTGAAAGAATATTTGATCGGACTGAGAGCGAAGCGTGACCGGACTGTGAGCGAACCGATAGTATATGGATCGGGCTTTAAAGTTACCGAACTCGAGCTCGGTAGTAACCATAGACATAATAAGAATAAGATCGAGCTTAAGGTTCGAAACCTGAAGATCAGGTAAAAAGGACGGACGATAGGTGCGGTGCATCCTTCTCTCTCCGACGAGAGAGGATCGGAGAGAAAGAGTGGAGAGGCAATTGAGAGCTGAATGAAAGCTGAATATATCAATTACAATTCCGGCGTAGAGAATTAGTATTTTTAAATAGTTTAAAATATTTTAAATCATCACACGTATGTCACGTATTGTATATCTGTATCTCTCTGCGCATGCGCGAACGGAGAGAGAAAGCTACGACACCTGCTTCCTGTCCTTTTGTATTTAATCTCCAGAGTCTCTCTCTATAAGAAGACATTGGTTTATTCTTACTATACAGTGTCTACAGTGATAACCATAGATATAGGCGCGTTTTCCTAAATTTCGAGAGTGGGGGTAGACATCGATCGAAAGCGTTTTGTTGCGATAATAGAATTGGCAGGGCTAGATTCTCGTGTTGGACGTTATCGATCGTCTTGGAATTGAAGCTAAAGTTAACTTGCAATGGAAACCGATAAGCCTCAGCTGTGAATTGTTTATTCAAATACGGAGCGAAGGAAAAGAATCGGTCCGCGTAAAAGTATTCTCCGATTCCATTTGGAAGAACATTACCGGCGCATTTTTTTGGAAAAACTAATATCCTAGAATAGTAGATTCTGCTAAATAATACAACATCCTCTGTCAGTTTTCTGAGAATAACTGTTGTCAATCCCGTAATAGGTATTAATATTTATTTGGGAAAAATATATTTTTAGATATAACAGATATTTGTTTAGGTACGACAAATAGCACGAGAACGGTACTTCAAATTATAGATCTTATATTTTTCGCAGATCTGCCTCTTTCATGCCAATCGTTGTTTACCTTTGCCGAGCGGCGAACCGAGTATCTTTGATTCTGAAAATCCTTTACATATTTCTAAATACGATTCGGCCTACTTACTAACATCAATCATCATTCCGTCCTCATTCAAGTCTAGCCACGATCCAAAAAGCATCGAGATTTACAAATCACGAATCGCTAATTTTCCACCAGACGCTTTCGTGCCGTTGAACGCGACCGAGAACGCGACTTAACCATCGTCTCTCCTCCCCCCCCTCTTTCCCTCTCCCTCTTTCTGAGATTCAGTCGCGCATCTGGATCAATTCGAACGAGCTGAAAGAAGAGCAAAATTTATAAAGCGCGCGCTCCCTCTTCACGAAGGTCTAGCTCATTTTCGACCATTCACGACGTAAACTCGGCGTCTCGCGCGTTTCTCCCCAAAGAGAAGAAGCTCCGGACTCTTAAAATACGCCGTCGTACTCGGGCTCGTTTCAGAAATCTGGTGCACAACCTCAGCCTCACCGACCTGACGGAGCAGCAAAGGCTGACCTGGTACTCGACGGAGAACGACGTGAAGATGTGCGTGGTTAAGGGCACCCCCGAGGAGAACTGCCAAAACTACATACGTATCCTCGTGAAAACCGGATCGAACAATTTGTTCGTGTGTGCGACCAACGCCTTCAAGCCCATGTGCCGCGACTACATGGTGCACGCGGGCAACTACTCCATGGTGAAGGAAAAGCCCGGCCAGGCCAAGTGCCCGTACGACCCGCAGCACAACAGCACTTTCGTCTACGTGGACGGCGAGCTCTACACCGGCACGGTCGCCGATTTCGCGGGGATGGACCCGATCATCTACAGGGAGCCGCTGCAGACCGAGCAGTACGACTCGATGAGTCTGAACGGTGAGTGAAAATCACGCATATCGATCGGCTATCCGCGTCGGGATGATTGATGACGGCTTAATGATGATCGCGCGCGCTGATTTACATTGAAAGTCGCCCCGGTTAACTCATCGCCGCCGTCGCCGCCGCCGCCGCGCCGCGCCGCGCCGCGCCGCGCCGATCGCCCGGCCAACGGCCGCGCGCGATTCTGGATATATCAATTTTCATTTTCGGGCAGTTTGCGCAGCTGCCGTTAATTCGACGGCGACAAGTGCGCGGTTTGTAGTCCGGCGGTTAATGATCGCGAGCCGCGGATATTCGTTTTCACCGCGCCGAAGCGACGCCGGGGATTATAATCAGTCGTTAACGGGCGGCGACATACAACGCGCGCCATGCGCAGCAAGAGAGGGATAACGCGCGAGGATAGTGCGATTTTTAACGTTGTTTCCAGGCGAATGTCCACCCGGAGAATTGCGAGATAATGTGTTTGTCGTAGAAGCGCCCGCGCGGACGCGTTATGCGTCCGATGGTTTCATTTAATTTACTTAATTACTGCTCGCTCCCGAGCCGACAGTTCGTTATGGTTCGTTAATTCTGCCTTTAATACCGTCAAACCTGATAAATTCACGGAAAACCTCCAGATGTAACACTACGTGAGCTGTTGCTTTCTATCTTGACGTTGCAATTGATTAGCTTACTCTGCCGTCTCTTTCACACGTTCAGAGTCTTATTTTTCACTCTTCGAAATTATTTGATAATCGATTATTTCACAACCTCGGAAGAGCAGGCGACCTCGACGTTTTCAAAACAATCGGCGCGGTAAACATCATCGCCCGCCTATCGATGACACGTACATTCGGCAGCCGAAAGATCGCAACAATCAACGCTATAAAAACAGTCCTTCTTGGAAAGTTTTTTCCGAAACGCCACGAATTACAGTGGTTGTACATTAGGAATTTTTTCCTGGAAATAGTTTATTTCTGTATAATAATAAATAATAAGCAAACAATCATTTTTATACACGATAAAGTCTCTCTTTCTTAACAATATGTCAAAAAAAGCTTATAAATTATAATAATATTTTATACTCCGAAGTTAACGAAAGTTAGTAAAGTAACGAAAACTAGTAATTTTCCAAGGCACAAAAAGTATTCATATATATTTATGATATCAGTGACCAGTACTAATTTTATAACTGTTTGTTCACACTAGTCATCATTAATAATGACAACATTATGATAAAACAGATTAATTATCGCATATACTCTGCTATAAACATAACAGGAAAAATTAGTTTGGAGTGATATTTAATGGTAGCGTGTATTGGAAGCGTCCGAGTTCTAATTTAAATTATGTTCTCTCTAAGCCAGCAAATACTGATTTGTGCATCTTTTCATTTATTCTTGTTATTGTGCCGAGTTTGAAATTTAGATCTCTATGAAAACTGTTGGGTAACTGCAACTGCTATCTTTGTCCTCGCAACTTTTTTTTCACCCCTTTTGAACCTCCAAATTTTGTCAGAATTTAAAACGTCCATATAAAATGAAAATAAAAAAATTGTATAAAAAATGAATTTATTGTTTTATTATATTTATCCATTTGCCATTTTTACCAAATTATTTAATATTTGTTTCTCGCGTATACTCTATTTGAATTTTAACAAGCTGTGTAATTGATACATTGCTTGCTGGGAGAAACTAAGAGTAAGGATTAAATGTAAATAAAAAATATTGAGTTAATGCAATATCTTGAATAATTCTCTTACATACAGAGTCTTTTCTTAGATCTCAGATTGAGAAAAATGGCAATTAATGATCATTTGCAGGATTAAAATAAGACGGTAATCTGTATAGCTATACTTCCAGATTCTCTATTAATTTTTCGAGCTCAAGGATTAAGGCAGAGCCAAATTTGCAACTCTGCCTTTCAGTTCTGTCGCAATACACCGGGTACAAAGTGTCTCTATAAACGGCGATTTTAAAAGTCGCGAGATCGAGCAACGATTAGACCGAGCTAATTAGACGCGATAGATAGCCTATAATCCGAGATCCAATTAATTCGATCGTTACTTTCTAATTGCTAGAAGTTGCAGCGAGAAGGAGGGGGACAGGGGAGAAGGAAGGGGAAGGGAAAGAGAAGAGATCCTTTATTCGCATTATTTGAAAGTTTGTGCCTCTGTATCGGCACTCAGTCTCAAACACTTTGCGAACTTTGCATTTCTTAACAATAAGACAATGTTCGCATTTATCGAAAGCGCAAGTTTACGGGACAAAGTTACCGAGATTCACATTATTTAGGCTAAAGAATAAGGAAAGTTCAGAATGGGTGAATTGTGATTAGCTGACATTTAATAAAAATTATCAGCACACCCACGCTCTCTTCGCGCGCACACACACAGACACACACACACACGCACACACACATACGCATACATATATCCAAGTAATTTTACACGGAAGAAGGATTATTGGATTACAGTTGCCCGAGGCGAGTAAAGTTGCACCGAACTTTCGCAACAGTTGACAGACATCTCTTACGCGTCGTTCGGCGTTTTCCGCGACTCGACGCAGCTCCGCCGCATCGTCGTCGTTATCACGCGCAGCATTTTAGCAACGTCGCTCGTTCTGTCGCGCTTGCCGAGCTTTTACCATCAGCGTATTAATCATTCAGGATCACGCCGCGATCGCCGTCCATTATCGACCCGGTCACGATATCTCCGTTATCGAATGCTCGCCAAGGAGACGAGCGGGAAGCGCATCACGCAGCCGGGGCAGACGCGTGTCTGAATGTTTGAAAGTCACGACGGCTCCCGCATAATACATATCCGTGTCCATTAAAGTTCAACTGCGAGTTCGATTCAATATTTACACGCGAACTTCGCTCGGGTAGCGCACGTCGACTTTGAAAACGCGCCGCGCGACGGAGTGCGCGTGCTATCCCCCTCTCGCTCTCGCTCCCTGGGAAATTATTCAGAAATGTCGCGATCGAGCCCGCGACCGTGCGCCGTGTCTCCTAATCCACACGGTGTAATTCCGAGATTAACCGCGCGTGTACGTGGTTCCGTAAGCTCTCCCCCGGTACTTGGCCCAAGATTATTCCGCGGATCTTCCGGTCTCGTGTAACGATGGGCGGGTGCGCGCGAGCCCATCGGGCTCGAAATTTGCCGTCTCGGGATTGTAATACGCGCCCGCTTGCGCTCTCTAATCTCGGATATCGCGCATCGCGCGAGACAGAGAGAGACGCACCGCGGCCATTATTTCACTCTTATTCGGCCGTTATCGCGAGGCACGCGCGCTCGCGCGATCGGCGCTTTCTCGCGTAAGTAAACGCGTGTCGTCGACGCGGCGGATTTTTTAGGAGGCAAGGAGTTCTCGCGCTTCTTCGGGCGCGATGCGATTTCTGGTCTGGCCGGGAATTTGTGCTCGTGTGGCGGACGGACGGGCTCTCTCTCTCTTTCTCTCTCTCTCTCTCTCTCTCCCTTTGTGGATTTAATAAATTAAAAACTGGCTTTCTCGGTGTTGCGCAGCACGGTGGTGTATTACAGGAAACTTCAAAGTACGTCATCTTTGTCGTCGCGGCGTTAAAATTGATACGTCACTTTGCTCGAGGCGGACGGAGCCCCAGTCCGTCGGGGTATTTTAATTGAACGGTGTACGAGAGCGCTAATCAAGTTTCTCCACCCGTTGGACAATATTGATTTTCTCTCCGTCCGTCGAAAATTCAATTCCATCCCGCCGCCGCCCCACACCGTCGCTCGCTCGCGCTCCGTTCTCGCTTCTACAGCGGCAAATCGCGAATCGAGAATCTCCGGCCGACATCACCGTCCGGGCTTGCAGATCGCGTCGTCGACCGGAAGTGCATTTTTCTAATCGGTCACGGAGTGACCGTCGAGGATACGGGGGGACCGGCGAAGAGAACGGAAGTGTTTCTCTTTCGGGGCCTTCGTCTCCGCCGCCGCCGTCGCGAATTTTCCGCGGCACTTTGTCTCGACGGAGGTGCAGTTAAACGCGACGTGGAGACGCCAGAGGTGGCGGCCAGGAAACGAAGGGATGCGAAGGGGGAAGCGAGCCGGCGACAGTTAGAGAGGAGAGGAGAAAGACGGCGAAAGGTTAGGTCTCGGAGGAGAGGCAGAGAGAGAGAGAGAGAGAGAGAGAGAGAGAGAGAGAGAGAGAGAGAGAGAGAGAGAGAGAGAGAGAGAGAGAGAGGGCGAGAGAGAAAGAAAGACAAAGAGAGTGAGAGCGTGAGAAGAGCCTCGCTCGCTCACGGGGGTAGGTGTGGGGTAAAACGGAGGAGAATTTATGGGGCGGAGAGCGACGGGTCGTTCGGATATACCTACGTGGCACGGCGAGATTAATATTACTTTATGAATCCTAAGAAGCTTATGAAAACCCTGTCAAGTTAATAAATCGATAAAGTTTTCCCACTTTATCGGGCGACCGACCGGTGCGGCGGAACCGCGACGTGGCGACGTTTTACCAGGCGACGACGGCGTTGAAATAACCGAGAGAAAAATAAAAAGCTTCTTTTTACGTAGCCGGTCTATTGACGATGGATGTCGCCTGGGAGTACATGTGTGTGTGTGTGTGTGTGTGTGTGTGTGGTATGTTGTTATGTGTGCGCATATGTGTGGGCAAATCGTTACACGTGTGGATAAAACGACTGTGATACATAGCCCGGACGACGACGTGCGACGTCTTATTATTGTAGTTTGAACTCTCAGTCGTAAACTTTTACGCGTCCAATTTTCGTTATTCCACCGATAAAAGCCGCGGAGAGAGACACTTGGGCAAGATGGAGCGGGACGGGGGGAAGGGGGAGGAGGACGGAGTCGCGATCGCGCGTCAATTTCGGAGAAATAATAACCGACCCCGATGTGCGATGTTGCTACTTACGACGCGAACATCTTGATGCTCTTAATCGACGTAATTAACGTTCAAATAATTACCGCGACCGCGTCGAGATTAATGGCGCAATTAAGGGAGGCGATTGTTAACGTAAATAACCGCGGCGCTCGCGGGGCGGCGGCAGCGGCAGCGGCGTGATCCGTTAACTTTTCGAGACACTCGGGACGCGCGGAGAAATTAATGTCCGGCTGCGCGAAACAACGCCGCGAGTAGAAATGGGAGTTTTTAAATAAATCGTGGCGAGATTTCGCCCCTTATTTTCGCGGTGCTGTATGTTGTCTAGTTTATTACACGCCATCGATTGCGTTCCAGTAGGTGGTTATTACGTTCATTTATTTATAAGGGGAATTTATGACACCATTTACTATCGAGACGCGCGCACGCGCGCGCGCGTGCGCCCGTCCTCGCCAATGCGAACGTACGAGGGCGATAGTAGTTAGTAATGGCCACATATTCTAATTGCAGCGCCGAACTTCGTGAGCTCCATGTCCCAAGGAGACTTCGTCTACTTCTTCTTCAGAGAGACTGCTGTAGAATATATCAATTGCGGCAAGGTAAGAAATCACGGACGATCAATCGCGTCGTCGTAGTTCTTAGGGGTTTATTATAGCTGTACAAATTAATTCGGTGCCTCGTAGCTCCGTTTTAAAACTAAATAGTTTCCCGCTCTTTAGCGGTTTGCAAGTATGTACCAAGTTCTCAAAACATTATGTGCCTTGACGAAGCAGGCGACGTAACCTCAGAAACAATAGTGTGACATTGCATCTCAACTAAAGAAAAATATTGCTGAAGCTACGGAGATAATTTGTGCCACCCTGGGCGAAGACGCTGTAACACATAAAACGTGTAAAAAGTGTAAAAAATAATACCAGAGGTTTTGGAATGGAAATTTTGACCTTTCGGATCGACAACGTCCGGGTCATCCACTAAAATTCGGCGACGAGGAACTCGAACGAGTATTGACTGAAAACTCTGCTCAAATTCAGCAGAAATTTGCATTAAAACTCGGAATTACTCAACAATGCATATCTCATTGTCTACATCAGCGGCACGATTATGATAACTTTGGCCCCTCAAAATGAAAGCGAGTTTCGGAAAAATTTTTATCGAGAAGTGTGGAAAAAATAGTAAAAAATTCTCCGGTCAACAGATATTGAAATAAGTAACACTACAAACGAAAAAAAGGAAAAAAAATATTTTAGTCTAAATAAGTATTTTGAATATACTTAAATCTTTGCCTTATTAAATATAAAATAAGTCTACAATATATTAAAAATATTGATAATGAAAAGATTAATAAGAACTCCTACGCAAGGTAGGACGCATTATGAATATATCTTTTAAATTTTCGCTTTACTAAAAATGGATGAGTCTCTACAATATATCAATAATTAATACTGAAAAGATTAACAAGAACTCTCCGCAAGGTAATATATGCTAAAAATCGTAAATGGTAATATTAAAAATTTTCTTCTCAGAAATCAATAAAAACACATCCTTGGCAGTTGTAGATTATTGTATTTTACTTTTGTAAACAGAACGTAACTTTTTTACATATTTTTAAAATTAAAATTAAAATTTATTTTAAATTATGTCGTTATTTAAAATTCGTTAATTAAAATATGTCGTTATATTTAATATCCTTATTAATAATGACAAATACCAAAGAATTTTTTACTGTTTTTCTGGCGTTAATATTGTTGATAAAATCTTTTTACCATTTTTCCCATTGTTCCTTGCTAAAAATGCCTTCGAAAACCACTTTCACTTCGAAGGGCCAAAGTTAATCTCTCCATACCAACTCGGTAAAATTCAGAAGGAGGGTAGGTTCCGCACAACCACGACCCGGGAAACGAGGAGGAAGGATTTGACACGGCAATGTCATTGCTGACCCGATTTAAAAGGAAAGATTTTCCGTACAAAATCATTACGGATGATGAAAAATGCCTAATATACGATAAACCCAAATGCAGAAAAACCCAGGTAGAACCCGGCGAACCGTCGACATCGACTCCGAAGGCCAGTATCCATGCAAAAAAAAATTTCGCTGAGTATCTGAGTGGGATATGAAGGGCGTGGTGCATTATGAGTTGCTGGATCCTGGTTAGACTACTTACTACGGAGTACTATCAACAACTTAATCGTTTGAGCGATGCGTTGGAGCAAAAGAACCCTTATACTGTTGACGGAAATGGGCAAGTGATTTTGCAGCACGACAACGCTCGACCGCATACCGCAAAAGGGATTAAAGACGTTATCTATTGGGCTGAGAAGTTCTCCCTCGCGCGGCTTTCACTCATTCACCAGATCTCGCCCCGTCGGACTACCATCTATTTCGGTCTCTTCAACATCGCCTGGCTGATGAGCACTTTGACACAATTGACAAAGTCCGAAAGAGCATCGATGGCTCTGTCGAGTCAAAACCAAGTTTCTTTCGCGAGAGCATTCGTCAATTGCCCGAAAGATGGAGTAGAGCCATCGGAAATAATCGAGATTATTTCAAATATCAAATGTCTACTTCTTTTTCTGAATAAACTTTGAGTTTCATGAAAAAAAGCACCGAATTAATTTGTACACCTAATACACGTCCAACATATTGTTGACGTGTATACCGCGAAACGGACCGAGTCCTTTTCCGCGCGTTTCAATTCCGCCACGAAACTGAATCGAGGGCCTGTGAAGTCGTTACGTTACAAACGCAAAATTAAGTGAATATAACGATTTATTTACAACAGTCGCCGGCGGTTCGATATACGCTAGATGTGAATTATCCCTTCAACGTTTGAAAACCGAAAAACGCCGACAAGACGGAAAACGTGCGCCACGCATTACACCGCGATCGTTAAATCAATCGTTTATCCTCTCTGAAATAACATCCTTGCGCGTGTGCGTTCCGAAATGTACGAAGAGAAATGTACGGTGAGACACTGAAGGTCCGTGTTATACTATCCGGTAAACAGCGACTAACAACGACATCTCGTCGCCGTTGTAATTTCTCACTCAGCGATGTGTACGATTGTGTGCAACGTGTGCGTTACACCGCATTTACATGGCTGAGTGAGAAACTGCAATATTGATGTAACGTTGCTGTTAGTTTGTGTTTACTGGAGTAAGACGAGCCGTAGGTTTTCAACAGCGTCATCGCATTTCGCGTCGCGTTGCTCTGCCGCGTTGCTGGACGGTCGAAATTCGAATGATGTACGAAGAGTACTAGTCGCCGACTAGCCATGAATTGTCGCGATATTCGGTCGGGCGAATTGACGGGTAACTGCAAAACGGATAGCAGTGGTTGAGAGAAGATCGCGCGGATAAAGTTGAGTCTCGCGAGTCGATCAGTCGGTAGATAACATGTACAAAAGTTCCGCGGGAGTCGAGCGGCCGTTGCTCTCCGTACGTCGCAGACAATTTTTAACGTCCGGTAAGACGATTACGTCTCTTTCGTCCATCGTTTCGCATTGAAAATCGGCTTTCGGAGGCTCGTCACTTCCTCTCTTTGCCGTGCACACAAACGATTCCGTTTGACGAGCCGTCGTCGACGTTACGGCGAAAGTTGCGAGTGCATCGGATTCATTGTGGACGAAAGCTTAAGTCGGGCTAGGCTTATTGTCAAAGGCCGAGCTTGAGCTTGAGCTTGCGCTGTGGGGAGTAGAGTTAGTTTTCTCCGTGCTCTGATAATGACGCATAATTTTATGGCGAGGCGAGCGGAGGATAAATCCGACGGATCCTGGGGAAAAAGTTGGGACGGGTATTATGGGTAAAGATTGCGACTCTTGGCCGCCGTCGCTGTGCGGCGAGAGAACGCCGCGAGAAGATTTTATGCGGCTCGGAATAAATTTATAATCTCGGCGGGGTATAATAAATTATTCCCCGGGATCTTCGAAATCTTCGCGCTCCGTTTCCCCGCCCGCTTTATATTCGTTTACGTGCCGCGGCGCCGTGGCGCATCTCGCGCGAGTTCTATTTTAATTATAGGTCACGACAAATTCACCGCCGAAACGTCCCCGCTTTTACGTTTTATCCCCTTTACGTGCCCGGTTGTATTTCGCCGAAATCGTATCCCGCTGGAAAACACGGGGCGTTATATAAGGGTACGAAGGAAGTTTTAACGGTGCGCTCCTCCGCGCGCCTGGAGGACACGGACACGAGAGCGCATCGCTTTAATAGCGTTCGCGCGGAAAAAGAAACAGAAAGGCGAGCTGAAACTAAAACTACATATGGAGCTAGGACTCTCCTCCTCCCACGTTCCCTTTTCCCTCCGCCGTCCTTCTGACGCGACACATTTTGGGGAACGAAATTATCTCGCCTTACCGCGTTTCCCACGGTGAAATTTACGAGACGTCATTTTCGCATTCGCAGGCCGTGTACTCTCGCGTAGCGCGAGTCTGTAAATACGACCGGGGCGGGCCGCATCGCTTCCGTAACAGGTGGACATCCTACCTGAAGTCGCGTCTCAATTGCTCCGTCACCGGGGACTTCCCGTTCTACTTCAACGAGATACGTAAGTAAACGGACACACGTCCACGAAGGAGAAACAAGAAAAAAAGCACGGACCATGCGCTTCGATTCACCTTTTGCTCCCGCTTTTACTCAGTCAGATACATCGAACCGCATCTGTTTGTTTTGTAACCGAGGAAGGTAGGAGAGAGAGAGAGAGAGAGAGAGAAAGAGAGAGAGAGAGAGAGAGAGAGAGGAAGAGAAAAAATATAGAAATAATATCGTTTTATTTCGCACGATATTTTGCAACGTCGGATTTAATTATATCAATTCGCTTCGAGCGAAGCGTCGATATCTAGCGGACGAATATATACAGTTGAGTTTTCCGATCGGCGAAAATGTCGAAGAAGCTTGTTGTTTATCGCGCAGCTTCGTAATTTGAAATATCGCCGAGATGACAAAAATATCGAATGAGAATTCCGCCGGAGTAAACGAACCGTCGATTCTTGTTACATAAATGTCCCTCTCCGAAACTTGGTTCTCGCGAGGAGTATCTTCGTCCTCGATCTCTCTCGTAACTCGAATCGTCTTAGATACACCTCCGTCTCTCAGTGTTTTGACATTGGGATTTTTGTCTGCAATTCGTTCTCGAGGACTCGACGGGCGCGCTCAAACACATCGAATATTACTTTGTACACGGAAAAGAGATCTCAGTTCGTGTAACTGAAGAGGGACCACAGACGAAAACTTGCTGACGAGATACGATTTCTCTGCTGGCGCGACCAAGAACATTCGGCCGCGTTAAAACTCGGTTGAGATAATTGAGAACAATTGTTTGAATAATGGAAACTTTTCACAGGAATATCCCCTTTTTCACAACCGAGTTTTTTTTTTATCTGGTCCCCAGGCAGCAGAAATTTATTTGCTCGAATTTACACGGGCGGATATTTTTATTATGTACATTGAAAAATAAAATCTCAGTTCGCGTAAACAAAGTGTGTATCAGACGAAAACTCGATGACGCGAAATAAACACCTCTGTTATCGTGACCGAAAAAAATATTCGTCTGCTGCATTACAATCTGATTGAGATACTTGAGAACGATCGGTTGAGCGATGGAAACGTCCCACAGGCGTTTTTCTCTTTCTACAACCTCGAGGTTTCGTTTACAGGCTTGTTCTATAATTTTTAACAACGGTGTCATTATCGTCACGTTGTCGTTACGAAACTGTTCTACCATGTATCGGCTTAACGAGAATGTAACAATAACGACACTGTCGTTAAGAAAGTCCCACAGAATATATATATATATATACCAGTATATATAGGGTGACTCATTTTAATTTACCCACTCAAATATCTCGAAAAATACAAAAGATACGGAGAATCGTTTTGGACAATAGTTATTTCATTTGAATATCATAAGATATAAAACAGCGATATCATTTTGTTTACAGATGGCATCACTTTCCAATTTTTTATTATATCATCTTTTTCTATCAATTAATTGAAACAACTTTTGTCTGAAATATTTTTATTTGTTTCATTCTTTTTATTGAGATATCTAAGGAAAACTTGCTGACTTTCAAGATTTAGCTTACGATATCTCGGCAACTATCTGTCGGAAGGAAAAGTGACGCTGGATCTTTTTACTCTATTGAATTTTAAGAGTATACTGTTACAATAGTGCTCCAACTCTTGTTAACTTCTTGACCTATGAAAGTTTCAAAATCATCGAATTAACAAAGGTTAGGACACTGTTGTAACAGTATGGTTCTCGAAATCAGATAGAGTAAAAAGACCTAATACTACGCATCCGTCAAATAGTAAGATATCGTAAGCTAAATCTTGAAAAAGTTGCCAAGTTCTTCTTAAATATCTCGAAAAATATTAGGCAAATAAAAAAATTTTTCAGACAAAAGTTGTTCAAATTAATTGGTGTAAAAAGATGATATAATAAAAAATTTAGGTTTTCATTCAAAAAAAGTGATGATCAATGAATATCTCGAAAGTGGCGTCATCTGTAAACAAAATGATATCGCTGTCTTATATCCCCGTTCAAATCAAACAATCGCCCTGTGTGTAGAGTAGCCCACGTAAAGTGTGGCAGCAGCCCAAAAACTTTAAAAATATTTGTCATATCAAAAAATATTTGTCGTATCAAAAAGTTGTTAGTGGTCAACAGTTTGAATATTTAATAAAGTAAAAGAAATTACAAAGTCTTTTATTTTATTTATGGTTTTATCACTTTAGTTTGAATGCACTTTACTGTAAAATTTAAACCCCCCTTCTCTGCCAGGTCATTCTCTGCACAGGAAATGTCATCGAAGGCGGAATTTACGGTTGGAGACGGGTTCAGCACATGCGCACACATGTACACATAATCCACGTATACATTCATATGTACAAAAAAAAGAACATATATAACCACACGGACTAGCCATACATTTCGGCTTCAGAACTTTTTAGAAGTTTATCGCGCTACAGTAATATCTATCATCTCGTAGACGCCCGTGCTAAGCGGACGTACCGTCTATTTAATCAATAATATTAAGATAGGAAAATTTGAAAGAGGAAGATGTGAAATCAAGAAACGCGAATGAAAGACACCCGCAAGTAATCGTTTCAAAATAAAACGCATTTCAAAGTCTACAGACGAAGCTTTTGTTCTTCGATCAATGGCAGAGAAGTTGAACACCCCAAATAGCACATTGGAAAAAATATTGTTTATCTATCTCACAGCTCCGGTGAACATTGGAAATAATGAACCTCGCGAAAACCTCACGAGAACACCAAACGAGAACAATACGTCGCACTTTTTTCTTCGCACGTAATTTTATATATTAAATTAGATATGAACGCATATTATCGCGCACTATTTTTTATTATCTCTGGCCGAAAACCAATGCGATTTATATATAATCATGCATTATAAAATATATAAAACGCTTTCTGAGCGTTTGATTTGCACACTCACCGACTTTTGTTGGCTCCTGTGACTCTGCATCCGTCCAATGTTCAGTCTCCTCAGCATCCAGGACGAGTTCCTTTTTTCATAATATTTTGTCCCTTTTTCTTTCTCTTTGTTTATCTTTTCTCTTTCATTAATTTCGATAGGATTTAAGGAAAAAGAATGGCGAGTCAAAGGAACATATATGATCGCGTTCAAGAGATGAGATTTTTATTCCAAAAAGAAGTAAATACGATATTGCAACGTTCCGAGAATGTATACGTGAGACGCGATTTGCGTAGAATCAATCGCGAATGAAAATTACGACGTTTAGACAAGAGAGAAAAAACGAAAATGTTTCGTTTCGCGAACGGTAACTCGAAAGAAACGCACGTCCTGTTTCGTAAGGACTAAGTTGTAATGTAAATAAACACGCGTACCGAATTTATCGGTCATTTCAAATGAAATATTATCGCTTCTGACATGCGTGAAAAATGTAGAACGTACGCGTAGAAAATTGATAAACTCAACAGACATAAAATTTATCAAGCCAAATAAGATAAATAATGGTGAATTTCACGTGCGATGGCGTAATTCTGATCAGATTTTAACATTACACACTACTCGAAGCAGGAGTTATATTGATTGAATCGCAACAAATAATTCCATATCTTGATTTCAATATAATAATAAACTAAAGCATTTATATCTGTATCTTCTAATGATTCAGAGTAAATATAAAAGAGAGAAATATATATTATATCTTAAAGATTCTGTTGTGTAATACGGTCATTGAAAGACACTATCTCCTGATTATTTCGAGCAACGTGTGAAAATAGTATAATTAAATCGCATTGATTTTCTCGAGATATTGCAAACGCCCATCACCATAAAAATGTCTTTTCTTCTCTGACTCACCGATACACAGCAGACAGAGTCAGCCGCGTTCTGCTGCGGATCTGTAACAAAAAATATAGTTTCGTTAGTTAAATCGTTAGGTGAAAAGTTAGGTTAGGTTGAGTTCAGTTCGCGGAAGCGCGCGCGCGCAGATACAAATGTTGATCCTTTGCCATCGTAATTCAACGGCTTTTATTCCAATCACTCGGTTTTCGATCGCAATGAATCAAGAAGAAATGTACAAACGATCAGTGAACCTCACCTTCAAGCCGACTCTGCTCGGCCCGAACCGGATCCTCCGGTGCGGCATCGGCGTCCGTCGAAACTGCGTCCCGGTAACTGCAGCTATCGCATGGCCGCAAACTCCAGCAGATCTGTAACAAAAAGCAAGTTTCCTCATTAGTATTACAGCGACAAATGCGCATCAAGAGTACGAAGACTCGAGACTACAAATTAGCTTCTTTTCATTTAACCAAGTTAACCGATAAAAGTTTACCTTTAAAGACTATGAAACACTGCTATTGCTCAAGATGCTCCGGATCGTCATGCGCACGCACGCACACACACACACGCACTCACGCACGAATATTACACGTTACGTGTACACTATGATCGAGCGTGAAAATTCGGAAATTATTACGCGCAGCGATCCGCCGATCCGTCCGCCGTCGCGGTGTAAACAATACTGAAAACGGTCGCGGCAATTGCGTACTTATAAACACGTTGTTTTCAAAGTCGCGCGACCTTGTCCCGACGGGACGCGTCTCAGAGAGCCCGTAACGTTGTATAAAATTTACCTTTTTAATACTATACATCGTACCGCATCTGAGCGTGTATCTTTGGGCAATATAATTTATTATTTTCGTTATACAAGTAATAAGTTTGTACTACTTATGTCTCTAACAATAAATTCTTCTATTGAATACTATAAATAAAACTCTACAAAACTGTTCTACAAAAAAATGTTATAACAAAACAATAACATCAACTGAAAAACTCTACTCAACATCAACTTTGCAAATGAGAGTGATTTGCAATCTGAAGATAAATGTATCGAAAACTCCCAATGATACACACAGTCCGGTACTTCAAAAACAGTTTTCATTATTTACTAGAACACTGAGTTTTATGGTTATTTTACTTGTTATTATAATAAATTAGTTAATATAACAATGCAATGGAAAATATTTAATGCAAAAAATCTTGGCTTCTATCTCTCTCTCTCTCTCTCTCGCTTTCGCTCTCTTTCTCTTTCTTGCACATTTCTACTCCTGTATTCTAGCAATATTCTTTTCTCCCTTACTATCTATCGCTTGCTCACTCGCACTCGCTGCTTCTTCAGCGCGCTTGTAACATCTCTGGTGTCGGAAAAGTGAGATGCACAAATCCCCTCTCCTCTGCGGTCTAGCGTTTCTTACTTTCTTACTGAATCGAAATTTTCCGTGATTTGGACTTTATTTTAAAATATCTACACTTAGAGACAACGCAACACAAAAACCCAAGCACACTTTTTTTCCTATTTTTTAAGATATTTCTGAAGATATTTCCGAATCGATTGGGACTGAAAAAACCTCGATCGGTTTAGCCATTGCTGAGATATGAATATCTCACCTCGTTTCAACTCGCAGTTTCGCGTAATTATAGGCACGGTGTGCCTCTTGATGTTTATAATTTTTAATAGAGATATTCTTTAAAAAAATGTCCTAGATAAAGTTTACTTGCTTTTTCTCGTAGAATCCAAATATATAACATCTTATAGGAAATTCCATTTGAAATGACAAAGTTACTCTCCCTCAGGGGAGAGCGAGAGCGGACTTTTGTTTATACGGTTAGAAAGACCTCTCGAATACATGATACTTTGTCATGAGCAATTTTTTGATACAACAAATATTTCTATAGAGTTTTTGGGTTATCACACTTTACGTGGGCCACACATACTGGTCCTCAAACTATAGAAATTCACTCACATGAGCCGAATCTCTCTTCCGTGTACGAGATTACCGCGTAGACGAACGCGCGAGTCCACGGATAATCGCGCGCGCGATGTACAGCAGCATTAATCATTATTCCGGAGGCGAGATCCGGCATACATGGTCACGAGGACACGTATGTGGTCCCTGAGGATTAATCAGCGAAACGTTCTCGATCATCCAGAGTCGACGACCGAGCTGATATCGGGCCAATACGGCGGCACGTCGGCGCAACTGATATACGGTACCTTCACGACGCCGGTGAACAGCATCAGCGGCTCGGCGGTCTGCGCGTTCTCGCTGCAGGACATCGCCGACACCTTCAACGGGAACTTCAAGGAGCAGACCGCCCTCAACTCCAATTGGCTGCCGGTGCAGGACACGAAGGTGCCGGATCCGCGGCCCGGCCAATGCACCAACGACTCGCGCACGCTGCCGGACCTGACGCTGAACTTCATTAACACGCATTCGCTGATGGACGAGTCGGTGCCGAGCTTTTTCGGTCAGCCGATCGTTATACGCACCAGTTTCCAGTAAGTGAATATCTCCGAGCTCCAGCCGTGCTGGGCGATTTCAGCCGGAGCCGAAATCCAAATTGAACGCAAACGACGCGCGGAACTCGCTCGCTCGCCGCGCGTTCACGGGCTTTTATCCACGCATCGCCGCGTCACGCAGTTTTCGCAGTTTTCGCTACGCGAGTTTTCGCTACGCGGTTTACGTTTGCGCCCGGATGACGCCGATAGACACTTTTATTCGCTCCTCGCCCGCTGTTTTTCTCGTCCGCGGAGCCGAACAGAGCGAGAGCGAAAAATCGTAACACAGCCGTAAACGCGCGAGCGGCCGTCGCCGCCGTACGTTGCGACTGAGCGTGACACGCACGTCGTTCTTGCAGTTACAGATTCACCCAGATCGCCGTGGACCCTCAAGTACGGACACCTGGCGACAAGACCTACGACGTACTGTTCATCGGCACAGACAACGGCAAGGTGATCAAGGCTGTGAACGCCGAGTCCGCGGACTCTCATCAGAAGGTCAGCCCGGTGGTGATTGAGGAAATACAGGCGTTCCCCTCCACGGTGCCGGTGCGCGGCATCAAGGTGGTCCGCGCGTCCGAGGCGGGCGACGGCCTCGAGGACGGCCGGTTGGTCGTCATCGCTGACAGCCAGGTGCAGGCGCTGAGGCTCCATCGCTGCTACAGCGACAGAATACTCTCCTGCGGCGAGTGCGTCGCGCTGCAAGACCCTTACTGCGCTTGGGACAAGGTCGAGGGCAAGTGCCGGGCGTTGGTCGGGCCCGCGGCGACGGACGCCAACAGGTTCCTGCAGAGCGTCGCGACCGGCATACACGCGTCCTGCCCGCCAAGCAAGAGTCTCAACAAGGACGCCGGCAGCGTCGGCGCCATTTCCGCTAATCAGAACAAGTTCCCGCAGGATTCAATGATACCCAACAAGGACAGCCAAGGAGGAGAGATCATCAATATCATGCAAGACGAGGAGCAAGACAACTCAGGTAAACGACACTCTTTGTCGTTGATCGAACATGCCGATCTCCCCATCTCGCATCGTCTCGCTCGACGTGTTTCGTTTGTATGTTCCAGGCCCGGAAGTGTCCGCCGCTGACACACCTCCGCCACAGTATTCGGTGGAGACTCTGGTGATGGCTGTTGTAGCCGGCGCGGTTTTCGCGCTGTGCGTCGGATTCGTGGCTGGTTATATGTGCGGGAAGAAATGCAGGAAAGACGAAGACGACAATTTACCGTATCCGGACACGGAGTATGAGTACTTCGAGCAACGGCAAAACGTGAACAGGTAGGGTATCTTCGTCGAGACGACGAAGCTGAACCGCACGCGATTATACGCCCCAGGGTGTACATGATGATAACTTTATCGTATAATGTTTGTCTGCATGTGCCGTGTTCAGCAGGTTACCACCCGAGCCGAAGTTGTTGCCGCAGGAAGAGGTGACCTATGCGGAGCCGGTGCTGGTACCGCAACCGCCAAAGCTCCAGTCACCAAAAGGCACCATGAGGAAACCGCCGCCAACGCCCACAGAGACTCTCTTCCAGTTCCCGGACGGTTACGGCTTCCGCGGCGCCAGGGACAACTTCGGCACCCTGCGCTCCCATCAAGGTGACGCGTATCGCCGCAACGACGGCTTTGCGACCACGCGCAGCGTCAAGAAAGTTTATCTCTGAGAAACGAGTGAGGAGGGGGGTGGCCGTCACCGGAGCTTAGGACGGCCAACGCGCAATCGCCACAACGCGACGACAGCCGGCAGGAGTAGTCGCGCTGTGACGTCCGGGGGACAGTCAAATCGCGAGCTCGCCGGCCCGAGGGCACTGGAGTCACCCTCGCCGTCGTCGAGCGTGTCGTCGAGTTCCCCGTCCCCTCCCTCCTCGTCACCCTCGCCTACCCTCGTACCGATCGCCATGAGCGGCAACCAACCGCCGCCACCGCCAACGCCACCCTGCAGCTTCATCTATCGATCATAGTCGCCGTCGCCGTCGCCATCATCGTCGTCGTCGTCGTCGTCGTCGTCGTCGTCGTCGTCGTCGTCGTCGTCATCAGCACTATCTTTGTCGCCGTTGCCATCGCGGTCGTCGTCGTACCCTGCTTTTTGTTCGACGACGTGAGGGGAGGATGGAGAGAGAGAGAGAGAGAGAGAGAGAGAGAGAGAGAGAGAGAGAGAGAGAGAGAGAGAGAAAGCGAGCGAGGTAGAGGTAGAGATCGAGCGAGCGTTCTTATACGGTCCTAGTGCGCGTTCACTAAAAGTGTATAGCGGATGAAGAAGAAGAAAAACAGAAAAAATCGAAAAGGTTGAGTCCAGGCCGGAGATCTCGCGGTACTTCGGTGGATGCCGCGACACAACTCTTTTTCTCTCGTCGTCTTTGATATATCGAATCTTTGTTCCGCGCGCGGTTTTCGTTTTTCGAAAGACCAAGAAAACAGAAACAAAAATAATCATTGCTTCGTGGTCGTGATAACGAAAGATCCGGAATGTCGGGATCTTTCGTCCGGTGTCGATCGAGTCTATACATACGCGTTTATATCGTATTTCTTTGCACGATGGGACTCGACTCGGCGGCGGGAATTGCCGTGAAAATAGAGGAGGAAAAGAAAAAACCATCGAAAGGAAAATTCAAACTTGCGCGAATTTGGATAGTTCCGTCGCGAGCGTTGGGGTACACGCCGGGTGTCGTCGAGCGGCCAGTGCTGTACGGCTGACTCGTCATCTTCAATCATGCACGAGTCGCATCGCGGCGTTGTGAGAGGAAACGGCATTTCGTAATTTTCGTATAGGAACGACATTCCTGCCGGAGGTGGTTCCCGCTTTGACCTCGCGTCGAGCATCAGGCTCGTTCGTCCGCGCACGTACGGGAAACGAGCGCGAATTTCTTAGCATAGCGATTGTCGATTATCGTAGGTCTTTAGTGTCGATTCGCGAAAGAATGAGCGACTAAAGTTAAATGAATGGGAAGAAAGGAAAAAGAGGAATAAAAAGAGGAAGAGAGGAAGAGGAAAAAAGAGAAAAGGAAGGAGAAGAAGGAGGAAAGTAACACGAGGAAAAGACGCTACGATCGTCGGTGCTCGAACGTATAGAAAGCTCGAGTAAACCTTTGGTGATTAGGTTCGATTGACAAAATAGTGCGATCGTTACGCGACGGTTCGCGACAAAAATGTCGTAATCTCCACTATTTTATTAATTGACAATTAGTAAATCGAGGTCGACGTGTAGTTGTTGAAAGAGGAGAAAAAAAATGATAAACTGCGCAACATAGTACTATGACGAGGCTTTTTTCATAAAGTCAATTAAAGGAGACTATCCGCAAACTCGAAACACGCAATTTTTCTAATGTTGTAATACTTAATATGAGTGATCGATATAGTGCCATTATATATAGACCACGTAACACTGCTGCGTGCCTCGAAATTGAAAACGATCGTGATTGATCATTAATGTTGTTGGCCGAATGTTTTTTCGTGATTGGCCAAAGTGAATCGCATTGATTGCAGTTTGATTACTTGTTGTAAATAACTGCGGTTCAATGTACTTTTATTTTTTTTCTCACGAACGCGTAATTTGTTTTCGGAGTATTTATTGTTTCACAATTCTCCATGTAGCCGATCACCGCTTGAGAACGCTGTTGGATTCAAAGGTTCGCTCGCGGACACGACGAAGTAATCTTTTTCGGCTGTGCGCGTTTGCGTGACACGTGAATGTAACTTGTACGTACCTTCTGACTCTTTTTTTCATCAGAAAAGAGGAGACACCTGAGTTATCTTGTCTTTTCTCCAGGGTTGGGAAGTAACACGTTACTTGTAACGCCGTTACTAATATCGTTACTTTTTTGAGTAACGATTAGGTAACGCCGTTACTTTTTTGTGTTAGTAACGAAAAAGTAACGGCGATACATTTTTTTTTATAACGAGTAACAAAACGTCCGTTACTTTAATCGTTACTTTTTAATTTTTACAAAATTAAACTTAATTGTATTTAATTTCTATGCATTTTTTATTTTATGCTGGATTTAGTGAGAACCAATAAAGGTGGACTCACATATTATCATCCATTGGCCGTAGCTATACAGAAAGGTTTAAAGGAAAGATAAGTTGGTGTAATTTGGTTAATACATATGTTCATCAAACAACATTTATCTAATCAAAAAGAAAAATCAATATGTTCATATTTAATTTTATTGATTTAACTTTAGGTTTTGTACTACATTCGAAAAAGAAGAATTGATAATTGCCAGCTGTTTGCACCCCAAATTCAAATTGAGTTGGTTAGCCGGAGATAAGCGAAAATTGGCGCAAACGTATTTAGAAGATTTATTAGGAATTCGTTCAATTGAAAATTTTTTGATGTCTGATAACCACAATGATAACGATGACTTTTTTAATTTCAAATAGCAAACATCAAATGAGAAATCTGCCTATGATGAATGGCAAAGATTTTTAAAGTCAACAGGCACTGATGTCCAAATATTAAATTCATATCCACTAATTAAGAAACTTTTCATTAAGTACAACACTTAATAACATAAAATAATGAAAATATTTAAATATATATATATATTTCTAATCGTCTTATGTCCAATTTATATCTTGTCTTAGCACCTTTCTTATAATCCTGGATTTACAACAAAAAAAAGTAACGGAAAGTAACGAAATAAAATATCGTTACTTTCAAGTAACGATAACGCGTAATTTTTTGAGATCAGTAACGAGTAACGAGTTACTTTTTACCGAAAGTAACGGTAATGAGTTATTTTTAAAAAGTAACTTACCCAACCCTGCTTTCCTCCCAATGGAAATTTTCTTTTTCCTCTTTTTTATTATTCTTTTTATTATTCTCTTCTTTTATTTTATTTTACTTTCTTTTTTGTTATCGTAGTCGGGGATATACATATGCATTCGGAAATTTGCATCATGCATAAAATCGTGGAGATTGCTATATTGCGTAATTTAAGGATACGTTACCGATATATCCATGTAGCGACCAACTAGCGTAGATTACTACGTTGCTGCTGTCCAAGGATATAGGTTGAAACGGTCGTTCGAAGACGATGCTACTCTCTAGTTTCTTATGTGCAAACGTTGGTTCATCTAGTTCTGTGTATGCTTCGGAGACGCGCATTCTCAGCGCCAGCACATATACGTAATAGGAAGGCGAGAGAGAAGTGATACGAAAGAGATAGAGAGAAAGTGAAAGAGAGGGGGAGAGAGAAGAAAGGAGAAAAAAAAGTGAGAGCAGGAGGAGAAAGTGAGATAGAGAGGCACACAGCGCTTATGTACATATAATACATATATACAAAACATATGCATCAGTTAGGGGGTTTTATGGCGGGGAAAGAACGGAAATGAGAACGGAAACAAACACGGAAATCAGTCCATCTAAATCTGGGCCCGATGGTATGTGTAAACATCTATCTTAAAGTGCTTCTTATTTCGGTGTGTTTAGAAATAACGTGTATGTGATATATTCTATATGACGAGAGAGAGGGATGCTCTTTCTGGGCATCGAAGGGAGAGAGAAAGAGAGAGAGAGAGAGAGAGAGGGAGGGGAAGAAGGTTTAAAGCTTAGAGAGAGAGAGAGAGAGGAGAGAGAGAGAGAGAGAGAGAGAGAGAGAGAGAGAGAGAGAGAGAGAGAGAGAGAGAGAGAGAGAGAGAGAGAGAGAGAGAGAGAGAGAGAGAGAGAGAGGCTCTCTCGACGGACTTGAGACGAGACAGACGCACGTGGTGATGAATTTCACGGTCTTTTGTTCACAAGAATTCGTCATCGCGCTTTGTAAGGATCTTTTGTACGGAATCTTTGTATCCATTTTATATACGCATATAAGAAGCCAGCTCACGTTCATTTCGACATCTCTGTCTCCCGTAATTCTACGGCGTCGCGAAAGAAAGGAAAACAAAGAGTACGAAAATGTAAAGGGAGAGGAGGAAGAAGGAGGAGAAGCTCTACATTCCAATAGACTGTCTTTCATCGTGGAATTTTGTGAACAATCGGACCCGACCTCTTCGACACGCACACAACACACAAACATTAAAGGAGATATATACTCTGTACAGGTTGTAAATTTCTCGCGAATTTCATTATCGTTTTTCATTTTCTTAACGTGCGCGTTTTCATTTTACGAAAAAAAGAAGAAAATAAAATAGGAAAATTACATTCCGAGAGCTCGTCCGAGAATTATCCCTTAAACGGTAAGACTGAACAGATTCCCCTTAAGGGCGAGCCTCGAGTCGTTCCTCTTGTCTCCCGCGAGTTTTACAGCCGAAACATGGGAGAGGAAAATCTATCTTTTCTTTTGTTCGTGCTTATTTTCTAGCGACACGAGTACAAATTTCGATCAAACTTTCTTATTGTATTACCCGAGTGATTCCCGTTCCAAGCACAAATTACTCTTTATCACGCTTCGTCGGGAGGCTCACGGAATTTCGTCGGAGTTGCGCTCGAGCTGACGACACAATCGGAAGAATAGTCGTCGTAAATCAGAGCGTGGGTTCGTAATAAGAGCGGCGATGCGGACGGACGGGGCTATCCCGTTGCTCTAACGACTGCCAACAATACGCGCGCGCGATTGTTGTTGGAGTATCTGCAAACTGCCACGCGGCACGCTGTAATTGTAGATTATGTAGAGTAAAATCCGATATTTTGTGCTTGAAACAAGTAGAGAACAAGTAGCAGACAAAGCACACATCATCGACACTCAAAACACTCCCCCGTGGCTTGCCACGTGGTTACGAAGCTGCCATATGTAATCGACCCGACGACTCCTCCTCCGTCGTCGCAGGTAGTGTCTATAATCGTCTCTCTCTGACCGGAGCCGAGTAGCGTTTCTAATCGCTTGTTCGTTTCGCGTCGCGCGCGAACGAGGTGGTTTTCTTTCCAACTTTGATATGACACAAACGAGATTCTCTCCAATTCGCGACTCGCGCAAACCCGAATGAGGTTTTAATGATTGTTTAGCGACTGTTTCGTAATAAAAACGGAAGACTCAGGCATGATACCAAAGATATTAATTGTAAACTAAAGACACCGTTGGTCGTTGTGATGGTTAATCGTTAATAGAGGCGCACAAAACGATATTCATTAACGATAGGAAGGTGGCCCCTCCCCCTTGCGCAGACACGAATGCGTGCGCGCGACACGCGAATTCAAAGAAAACAGAAAACAAAAAAAATAAGAAGACGGTGACATATAAAAGAGCGAAAGAGAGGGAGGGAGGAGACACACGTGTAAGGATGTTCATCTTATATTAGCGAGTTTTAATAATCATGTTGAGGACACACTAGTTGGGAGACACTCGCGATATTAAGATCGTAGAATTGTACTAAACGTTGGAATCAAGTAATGCATGAAAAAAAGCAGTGCGATCGTGCACCACAAAATATTTTTCAAGAGAGAACGAGCGAGAGAGAGAGAGAGAGAGAGAGTGTGAGAGCGAGAGAGAGAGAGAGAGAGAGAGAGAGAGAGAGAGAGAGAGAGAGAGAGAGAGAGAGAGAGAGAGAGAGAGAGAGAGAGAGAAAAGAGAACGAGATGCGTAGCGGTAGCTCGGTGTTCAAAAAAAAAAAAGATAAATCAGAAGTCTAATAAGCTTACGATATTATTATCGAGCGTTGATGCTTTAATAAAAGGAAAATAAATAAAAAAGAAAAAAAAACAAAGATTTGTATAAACGTGTTCAAGGAGCTCGTACGTTCATGTTGTTTAAGCCAATAAGGAACGGATTCCATCCAAGACAATGACGCGATCGAATGGGGTCGATTAGAGCGACGATTCGACGGTGTAAATGAGTTCGTTTGTTCGGCGTTGTTATACGGGACGGTGTAAAGAAGGAACGGTGTTGTTCGATTATAAGCTTCTCGCGTGATTCGCGTTAATAACGCAGATGTCGCAGACGGGAGACGTGAAGACGATGGTGTTTCATGCATTATTTCATTTCAATCCTCCCACGGAAGCCGAGTTCTATTTGTCTGTATATTTGGACGACGCGGTTTAGCCAGTCGCATGCGATTGTAGATCGACGGGAAGAGAAGAATGACTACCTAGGGGTACACGCAACAAACATACACACACGCACACACATGTAAACTAAGGCAGAAGAAAAAGAAGAAAAAGAAAGCGGGTCCCCCCCGTTTGTGAATGGGGATCTCGGATAGATGATGATGTGTGAGAGATGCGATCCGTAAGGATGGAAGCATAGAGATAGGTAGAAGATTAGTAATGGTACATACGTATAAATATAAATATATATAAATATAAATATATAAATAAATAAATAAATATATATATATATATAAATATATATATAAATATATATATATATATATAGAACGCTTGGAACGTATATTAATAATATTATAACTTTTTATAAATATATTTTTCCGTCGAAGTCTAGCCTAGTTGATACATACACAGTTACGATTATTAATTTATCCGATCTGATTATTATCGAGATCTAGCGTTAATTCGGGACATCTTAGACATCATAGTTTTACATGATAGGCAAGTTGTACGAATTGTAAGTCACTTAACTGAAAGGACGGAGAATTAGTACCTAATGTTAAACAGATTTACTACTAGTGTTGAACATCCGAAACGGGGGTCTTCTTCTCTCCGCGGCCCATTCCCCCCTATTATATCGATACACCCATACCTTCCCTTCAGCTCCCCCCCCCAGCCGTCGGAGGACTTTGTCGATCAGACGTTCCGTTTAAAGTGTGGCGCACACCAACGTGAAAAGTATATATATCTATATATATAATATATATATAAATATGTGTATATGTAAGAGAGCTGATAGAGAGAGAGAGTGCGAGAGAGAGAGAGAGAGAGAGAGAGAGTGAAAGAAAAAGAAAGGACATTGTATTTTTCGAAATTCGCGTTTCAACGAAAACTCATTGCCACGGCGGCCAGAATCGCGATCGTTAATCATTATAAA